GCAAGATGTCTGATTCTAACATGCATTTCAATTTGAGACGGTGCTATTGAGAAAGTCTACGGTTTAATGTTTCACGCTTGAGCTTTTATTGTCACTGATTATGCAACAGGTACATCCGCTGCCAGAAAGAGTCGGGAAGAAGCTTTGAGAGAGACAAATTAAAACGACAGGACATTGAAGCCTGGTAAGCCACATCCCCTTCACTTCCATTTTGTCATTTTGACTGCAGTCTTGAAGTCCTGTAGGGTTTTCTGCAGACACGGTCTCAACTCTGATTGTTCCTGTTGACAGGCACCTGTATAAGATGGTGGACAGCTGTCGCCAGCTGACGGGATCTCAGAGCAGTGGAGATGAAGACACCGCTGGCATGGTGACCATTCTGACAGGACACTCACTAGAGGAGCTGACTGAAAGATCAGCTTCCATGAAGGTCAGCTGGGCATTAGCAGACTGCAAATAAACTTTTACCATCATAATAGAATGGTATTGTAGAACATTATAACATAGTATAAGATTTTTTGGGGGGAAATTTACTTTAAATTGATTAAAAGTGACAGTAAAGATCTTTATGATGTTACAGAAGATTTCAAATAAATACTGTTCTTTTGAACTTTGTATTCATGAAAGATTCCTGAACACATCTATCCATTTCCACAAAAATATTAAGCAGCACAACAGTTTTCAACATTTGATGATAATAGGAATGTTTCTTGAGCAGCAAATCGGCATATTAGAATGATTTCTGAAGGATCATGTGACACTGAAGACTGGAGTAATGATGCTGAAAAATCAGCTTTGCATCACGTTAATAAATTACACTCTAAAATATATTCAAATAGTTATTTTAAATTGAAATATTTCAAAACAGTACTGTATTTTTGATCAAATAAATGCAGCCTGATATATATATATGTGTGTGTGTGTGTGTGTGTGTGTGTGTGTGGTCCTTACTCTGGAATAAAAAATATGCGGTATCTATTTACATTGTTAAAAGTGACCGTAAAACATCAGCTCCAGTGGCGCAGATGGTTAAGCGTGTGTCATTGGCTTTTTGACGCGATCGACCCGGGTTCGATCCCACCTTTTGCCGAACTTTTTTTTCCTCCCTTTTCAAATCTCGTATCACATCGTAAAGGCATTTATTTTCAATAAAAATGAAGGAAATAATCAAAAAGAATAGAATCCATTGCTAATACGAGATTTGGGGAAAAAAAAGTTCGGCAAAAGGCGGGATCGAACCAGGGTCGATCACGTCAAAAAGCCAATGACACACGCTTATCCATCTGCACCACTGGAGCTGATGTTGCATTTGCGTTTGTAATTTGTTATTTTGTTTTCAGAATTGTGATTTGCTTTGCACTTCTCGGCCACCGTACATATGTATATATATATATATCTGTGTATATGTGTATGTATGTAAACGTTCAAAAGTTTGGGATCAGTACAATTTTTAATGTATTTTAAAGAAGTCTCTTATTCTCATAAAGGCTGCATTTATTTTATCAAAAGTACAGTGATATTGTTAAATATTATTACAATTTAAAATAGCGGTCTTCTATTTTAATATAGTTCAAAATATAATTTATTCCTGTGGTGGCAAAGCTGAGTTTTCAGTAGTTAAAAGTTAAAAAGAACAGCATTTATGCATTTTTTAGTAGAAATTTTTAGCATCGCTTTACTATCAGAAGTCTTTACTATTACTTTTTTTTTTTTTTTCAATTTAACATATCTTTGCTGAATAAAAGTATTACTTTCTTTAAAAAAAAAAACAAAAAAAAAACATTTGAACGGTAGTGTATATTATTACGAAAGATTAATTTTTTTGAAAAATGCACAATACAGTGGCATGTGTTGCTACTTCTGCTGTAAAATGTTGCTTCTTGATGGAAAAGCTAAGCTGTATTGTAGCATTGCTGCTCCACCCAGACCTAGCAGAATTTAGATCGTCCAGATGTTTCTCTGTAAGAACGCTTAGTGTTATTGCAGTGGGGTCTGTTTGTAAGCTGCATTAACTCTGTGTCCATTGCTCTGGCTGCAGGCGGCTGTCCAGGCGGTGGCAGCAGCAGGCATGGAGCTGAAGAGCATCACTGACTTCTACCGGCAGTGGAAAGAGATGGGCTGAGAGACGGCGTGGTTGTGATTTAATGTATTGTGTTATGTGTATGAGCAAGAAGTCTGGCAAATGGTTGCTTTTATTTGATTTGATTTTTGTATGTCATGTTATTGCCTTTGTATGCTGTGCTGAACACACAGGAATGAGGATGGGTGTAGAGATCCAGTCGCAGACATCATCTGACTCCGGTCACACTCGGCTGTGCTGACAGATGTGGAAGTGTTTCTGCTTGACTCTAAACATGAGATTACTACTCAGCAAATCTAGTCCTAGCCATTCGCCATCACATTCTCATAGTAATTGTCCCATATCTTCAAAAATAAAATATTTAAAAAAAATCAACTTAAAATGTTTTGTATTTTAAAATGTAATTTATTTGTTACAAAGCTGAAGAAACATTATTTTACGTATTATTAATGTTGAAAACAGTGCTACTTAATATTGTGGATTGCTGAGTATAAATATTACATTCAAAATAAATCTTACTGACCACAAACCTCAAATATTATTAACTACAACTAAAACCATTGTAAAAAAAATCATTGTTAAATAAAAAAATTAAACTTTATTTCTGCCAACTTTTCTCATTTTCATTTCTCAGTTGGAGTATAAACATATAAAATAAAACTTAATAAAAACTGACATACTTAAAAAAACGAATAAATATGACAAAAACACAAAATTACTAAAACTTTAAAATTGAAATCAAATGAAAACAGAAAATATAAAAATAAAATGTAATTCAAAATCCAGTAATAAATTCAATATAGTATATCAATGATACTAAAATAAAACTATATAGAAATAATTAGTATATATTACAGTTATTTTCTAGCAATAAACAGTAAGTACAATGTAAATTATGGAAACATCAAAATAAAATGTAAAAGGCTTAATTCAATTAATCTGAATGAATTAGTCCTACTTTAATCTATCACTAGAGGCTAGTTCATTTGGGACTACATTTTTAGTTACACATAATTTGTCTCTAATGCTTTAAAAATGTAATGAAATAATATAAAAAATATCAAGGGATTTCTAGCAGCAAATATGCCATACTTCTCTTTCTTACGGGGTCTGTCTCTCAGTACCTAGTTGGTGTAAGTAGGTCTCTGTGTCCTCATTTAACTACATTCACTGTCTCGTGCCCAGCCGCCGCTGGGCCCTCTGCCGAGATCTCATTGTGCCATTACGGCCAGTTCTCTGGCAAAGACCCCTGTGCCACTGTCAAAGAATGGCCGGCTCTGCCCTACTTATAGGGGAGAATTATTTGTAGTCCGGTCCAATGACCAAATGTACCCTAGGGTTTCAGTGGAATAGAGGATGGGAAGATGATACAACAGCAAAAAAAAAAGGGAACAGGGCTGATCAGAATCATCAAGAGTTTACGATCAGCATACTTTACATCTTTGGGAATACAGCTTAATTCATCATAATCAATACAAAACTGTCTATACAATATTTGTTTTATTTTATTCCATTACAATTTGGCTTTCATCTTAAAAATCATTTTAAATACAGTATTATTATTATTATTATTATTTATAATAATAATAATAATAATTTGGTGGTTTATTTCTTGTACCCAAACAACAATTAAGTTTAGAGATCATTTTCCATAAAGAGGCAGAGTTTCAGAAGAACATATAAAGATTCTTGTGACACCCAATAAAGTTTGAATAATTTGTCAATATTATTAATATACGTTAAAATAATATATAAGAACATAAAATATTTGGCTGTAGGACTGCAATAAATTATTTTATTAATCCCACCCCAGAGTAGTTTAAATCCATTCACTGATGAGTTCCTGTTGCTAAGTGTTTGTATATATTTATTGTGTAATTATTTTATTTTCCCCTTCATTTAATCAATTTGATCTCTTTACCATATTATGTATTATTTATTTTAATACTTAAAGTACTATATGTTTTGGATATTGGATTTTATATATTTTAATACTTAAAGTAGCCTACTACAGGTGCATCTCAATAAACTATTGAGATGCACCTGTATATGTTTTGGATAAATAAAAAAATGCAAATAATCGACAATCATGCTAATCAATCTTTGCCTACGCCAGTAGGTGGCGAACTGAGCACCTTTTATCTTATTAGCGAGTCATTCGAATGTTGACTCAACTGATTCGATTAAAACGAGCGAGTCGTTCACGACAGAAAGAACAGTGAACGAAATTATTCGTTCATTCAAAAACACCAAACGGAAACATGGCAAAGTATATCTTCATAATAAGCATTACTAATATATTATTGACAAGACTAACTAAATATGCTAATATAAATGTTAAATGCCCGTCAAAAATAAATTAAATTAAATGTAAATAAATGCGGTGCCTGTCGTATTTATTTTTATTTTAGCGAAAGAATGGCACTTAATGAAATGCCCCAATAAAATATTATTGTAATGAAAAAAA